AAAATGAGGAGTTGATACCAAGGGCTCAAGTAGAAAGAAAATGTTTTGAAAATGATGATGGCAACAAATGTGCAAATGTGCTTGACACAATGGATGGATGTTTGGATTGTGATAAGAGCTGTACAAGCCCCCAATAAAATTATTTATATTATATGTTTGTATTATAAATGAATGCATATATATGGAAAAATTACATCTAGATATTTTTCTCTCTAGCTTGGATTAGAAGATCCAGAAAGATTCCACCTACTATGGAGGTAAGACTATACAAGGAAAATATTCAAAGAGCATATGTTTATAAGCTGTTTGTCAGCAGGGAGTGTGTATCTCCAGGGGCCATGATAGCACAATGGGTAATGGCGTCGCTGCTGATCGAAAGGTCTGTCCTTCAAACCACCCAGTGTGTCCAGGAACAAAAGACCTGGCAATGTTCTGTCATAAAGACTCCAATGGAGAACCCCCTTTGAGGCAGTCCTGTTCTGTCACAGGGGCTGATGCGCAGTGAAAATGAACTCAACAGCACTGCCTGGGATACATGATGCCCGAGAATGAATATGAGTGTGATGGTGCATCTTCTCAAAGGGAAGATGCTCCGCCAGAAATCACGTACAACATTTTAATGTAAAATATTCTCTGATTTCACATATCATAGAATACAATATAAAATACATATACACCTAAAAATGATAACAATGTAAATCAATATGATGATAAAACTTCAAAAGTTAGGGTTTGTGGGAGCCTTTATTGGGACATTTCCTCAAGCCCCTAAGAGTTCTGTTGCCCCAGATACTTTGTTGGAAACATATGAGAAACACAGAATCTCTTGGTCCTAATCAAATCATGTTCTATTTATTTTGCCCTTAATTCTGTATATTTACTCTATTAAGTAATCTGAGAACGTTTTGAAATATAGAATTAAAAAGTCATACATAATATTCAGTGATTAATGTTAAATGTTTTATTTAAAACTCAAACTGTATGTTTGGTGGTTAGCAGAATAAAAAATAGAAATGATGTTGTATATGAGGGGACTTCTAAAAATTCATGGCAAAGTGGAATTAAAAGATAATGCATTGAACTTTGATCCACAAGGTCAGCAGTTCAAAACTACCAGCCTCTTGGGAAAAAAAGATGGGCTCTCTACTCCTATAAAGATTAACAGTCTCAGACAATCACAGGGGTAGTTCTAGCCTGTCCTATAGGGTCACTATGTATTGGCATCAACTCAATGGCACTAAGTGAAGCATAAAGAGTGGCTAAATCATTGTGCAAAAAACAAATGTATGATGGGAGCATGAGTCCCTGAGGAGTCCTGGTGGTGTTTTCAGGTAAAGGTTAGACTGCTAACCAACTTCTGTGAGGTCACTATGAATGAAAATGGACTTAATGTCAGTGGTCGTTTTAATGCATTACTGTATACCCTGCAGCCGACCTCCCTGTGCTATGTACTTTCTATTTCTAGGCATTCCCTTCCCCTCACTATTTAGGATTTCTCTCTCCATGTCTCTCCCCTGCTCCCTCCCTCCTGCTCACTCTGATGACAACGTGAGTGGGCCTCTGGACTCAGCCACACTTGTTGAGAGGTGGGATACTCTAGTGTACACCATGAAACACTCAATCTGGCACATAGTTGACGTACCTGTCTTTACCTGGGATGAGCCTTGGTAGCGCAGTGGTTCCCCATTGGGCTGCCAACACCAAGGTCAGCATTGCAAAAACATCAGCTGTTCCAATAGAGAAAGAAGAAGTTTTCTACTCCCATATAGAGTATGGTCTAGTATATATAGTATATGGTCTAGGAAACCCACAGGGGCAGTTCTACCCTATCTTATAGGGTCACTGTGAGTCAGAATTGACTCGATATCAGTGAGGAATCTTTACTTGCTTCATCATACTGACCTTAGTGCTGGTCGTTTGGCCAAGGACTAAGTGAGTACATGTCTAGTCCCATTTCTAGTTTTGTGTAGTGCTCTCCCATTGCCCCTGCTCCGCCCTTTTTAGACTCTTCTTTCCAGTGTCAGTGGACCATGGTGGGCAGGTGTTGGGGTCAACTAAATGACAATGTGGTCTAAGATTTAGAAGTGTCTACATGTGTCTAAAGTGAAAGGGTGGATCCTGGAGCTTTTCTGGTTTCTTTTTGTGGGGGGGTAGAGGGGTTGGTGACAGGAGGAGGCATAGGAAGAGTTCTTTATATAATCTGATTGTGCAGACCACAATAAACCTCGAGAAGAAAGGGAATCTCAGAACACTGCTACACTGTACTCATGTGGAACTTGTACATGGATCAAGAGGCAGTTGTACAAACAGAACAAGGGACTACTGTATAGTTTAAAATCAGGAAACGTGTGAATCAAGGTCGCATCTCCTCACTATCCTTATTCAATCTGTATAGGGAGCAAATTACCAGAGAAGCTGGATTATATGTTGAAGAATGCAGCATCAGAATGGGAGGAAGGCTTATTAACTACCTTCTATGTGCTTATGATCCAAGCTTGCTTGCTTACAGTGAAGGGGACTTAAAGCTCATGTTGATGGCTAAGGTTTTCTTCACCCATGGTCAGTGTCTCCATGGACTTCCAACATTGTCTCTATGATTTTTTTCTCTTTGCTTCCCTGTTCTGATTGATAATTTTCTTATGACAGTGGTTATATTATGTTGCTGGCCCTGTAACTATTCTTTTGTCTTACTCTTTTCAAATCTTCGCTATAGCTTATAATGTGTTGATCTCAGTTTCAACTTCTAGAGAGAAATCCTATCTCTGAATTCCTGAAGCCCAATTTACTGTTGTTCTCAAGTAACTGACATTTATTGAGCACGTTCTTTTGCTTGGTACTTTTAAGTTGATTTTATGAGTAACAGAATTGAAATGTCTTAAAATTGACATTTTGCATATATAATTCTACCCCATTGACTTAAATTGCAAATATAGAGTATATATTCTGATGAAAGAAATAATACTGCTCTCCCGAAGCTAACAATAGCACTTTGGGAAATACAAGTGGAAACGGATAAGGGAATTGTAAATGTTCATAACACTAAGATATACATCAATTTTTAAAAGTGAATGAACTAGAGCTGCATGTATCAACACGGATAAATCTCAGAAACATGATATTAAACGAAAGGAAAAATCTGCAGAAAAATGTACACAATGTGATCTATTTACATAAATTTGAGAGCAGGAAAAGAATAATGGACTCTCAAGTAAAGCCGGTGTGTTAGAACACATGCATTTACTTTCACTCTGCAAGTCTAATGAAAACAGCGGTAAAAGGGTTGACTTTTAATGGCATAAATCCACAAGGTCAAAGAAAAGAGGCAAAACCAACATTGTTCTAGACACCAGAAGCCAGATAGACAAGTGCTAACCAATTTTGCAAAACTGAGGCATATGTATCCAAATCTGTCAGAGGAGAAATCCAGATGCAACTTAATTTAAACCACAGAACCCCAAGAGTGCCCAGGAGTTGGCAGCTTCAGGGACCTCTAAAAGTAGAGTTGAGCCTGGCACCTAAAGCAGTGGCCTGGTGGAAAATCTATTTCAAGAAGCAATTTGATGCTAATCAATAAAAGTACAGGAAATGTTCTTGGTAGGTATCATCAGGTCAGTCCCAACTCAGTAAAAGACCGAAACACTGCTTGGTCCGGCACCATCCTCATAATTGTTGCTATGTTTGAACCCATTGTTGAAGCCACTGTGACAGTCCATCTCACTGCTCCTCTATTTTATCAAGAATGAGGGCCTTTTCCATGAACTGGTCTCTCCTGATAATATGGCCAGTGTATGTCAGATGAAGCCTTCCTGCCCTTGCTTCCAAGGAGAATTCTGACGATACTTCTTCCAACACAAATCTGTTTGTTGTTCTGGAAGTCCAGGGTGCATTCAGTATTCTTTGCCCACATCATAATTCATATGTGAGTTAGTTAATTGTGCCATCCTGGCCGATAATCACATGTGGGGCTAATTGAAAGGCGGATGGATAAATGGGTGGTGAGCCTCGCCTTTCTAGTTCTCGGGTCTCTTGTTTTGTGATGGTTGCACCGGGTGCAGCTTCCTTAGCAGTTCCCTGCTTCAGCTTGCAAGATTGACTTCCTACAAGACATCCCCAAGGAGAAGCCACATGGACCTATCCCGATGCAGCCCTGGGTGCTGGAGCAGCCGTGTGGAGACCCCTGCTAGTGCTGAGATGCTTATTCGTTCACTGACTCAGCTTTCCTCCTGCAGTCGGCATCATTGCCTCTGTTTTGTGAGGTGGAGGACTTTGTGGACTGGTGTTGGGTTAATGGGTTAATGTTGGACTTGTGGGCTTGGGCAGCATTGGGTTGGGATGTTTTCGTGATGCACATTTTCTTTACATAAAACTCTCTCTTATCCATGAGTTGCTGTGGATTTGTTTCTCCAATGTACCCAGACTAACACAATATGTATCAGTTATTTTTCAGTTTTCCTTATTCAGTATCCAGCTTTCCCATGTCTGTGAGAGCAATTGAAAATGTCACAGCTTGTGTCAGGTGCACCTTAGTCCTCAGACGGCACCCTTGCTCCTCACCACTTTAAATAGGTCTGTGTAAGCAGATATGCCCAGTGCAATACAGCATTTGATTTCGTGACTGCTGCTTCCATCAGCATTGATTGTAGATCAAAGCTGGATGAAATTGTTGACAGCCTTTGGTTCCAGTTAGGATTTTGGTCTTCTTTACATTGAGTTGCAAGTCATACTGAATGCTGTAGTCCTTGATCTTCATCGGCAAGTGCTTCAAGCCCTCTTCTTTTTCAGTAAGCGAGGTTATGTCATCTTATCTTATATTAGGAAAAATAAGAGAAGATAAATCACTGTTTCTCAACCCAGAGCTCTTGTCCAGGCAAATTTGAGAGATGAGGTACCATTCTGAAAATGGAGGTATTAAATGAACATATATTTACTGAAAATGAGACCTCCCAGTCTCTTCGCCAATCAGATGTCATACTAATAACTGATCACATTAGAGTTAACTGTTCGATATCATCAATAAATACTAAAAGCATTTGTTCAAATTGTGTTGAGAAAGAGGACATGTAATATGCTCTGAAAATATCTCCTTACAAATTACTTCTTAATTGCAAAGTGAAAAAAAAAAATTGCAAAGCAAAACCAAACTCACTGCCATCAAGTTAATTCTGAAAAGTGCCTTTACAGTAACCAGATAAGATACCACCTTAGCCAAGTGGGCAAACATTGTGCAAACGTGATGTTATTGATGCCACCTTATATG